AATAATTATTGTAGGCATACCTCATAGAAATGGTTATAGTTAATAATAAAAAACTTAAAGCAATAAAATCCAATGCTTTTCTGACTTAACTTCTCAATCATTGACAGTAACTGTAAAATAAAATACAACTAATTAATCCCGGAATAAAATACCCTGGTGGTGGTGTTACCCTAATTTTATAGCTGAATTTAATTGGACAAACAAATAGCGAATTAAGTAATTTGTACGTTAAGGTGCTTTGATAAGCTATTTGCGATGCTATTACCAAGATTATAATGAAAAATATGGACCATAAACATGTAAAATAAATGAATGTTACTTCAATGAGTATATGCAACTCGACAAATAGGCTAATGTAGAGTGCCATGATTATAAACGTTAAATTTGTGAATATAAATACCATGATAAATTTAGACCACACGCTAACATTCATTTTGTTAATCTCATTGTGACTCGAATTTAGTTTTATGAGAAGTTTTGTCACATTCAACTCTTGGAGTTTGCGTTGATTATGAAAAATATGATCTATGTCTTTATTTAAGCTTGTGAGTTTTAGCCTAGAATAAAACAATATAATATAGAAATACTTGGTCCCTTTTATAGCCACAACTCGACCGCTCGGGCGTTGATCTTCCGCAGGGATGAGTTGAAAGTCACGGATTTGAAGACTTTGTATTCACTAATGCGTTACAATGACTTCAAAAGAGATCCGTTGTCTCAGTGCCAGACATATGACAAGCAATGCATTCCTCCCTATTCTGCGGACCTAACCATCGCTGCCCGCAATGATCTTAACGAAGTCACCGGCAGTTACGCCATCCCTGAGTGGTCTCACGATCTCGAGGGTGCCATCGATGCGAAGATGACCACATCGACGATGGTCTGGGATCTGGAGATGTTGGCCGTCAGCGGACCCACTGATGCACAACAGCCGCCATTCCAGTGGTCCACCAGTGGTTTCAAGGGTAACCATTTTGGACACCCGGATACGTTTCATTTCAAACCCATTTATGTTAAATTATTGTTATTTAGCTAATAATATAATTAATTACTCAAAAATTTATTTTTATTAATATCAGCATAAGTTATATTTAAATAAAATTAAATTTATAAGAAAGGTTGAAAATTTTGTGCCACATATTTGATCAAATGATCTAAATATTGTACCTCGCCCCTATTAGTGAATACCAGTCCTACCAGATTTTCTTTGGGAAATATAGTCAGATGAGTTGATACACCGCTCATTCCTCCATTGTGCCAAATTAGGGTCTTATAGGGGTAGGGTAGGTCATCCGGGTAGTGTATAACTCCCCAACCCTTTGCTAAATATTATTTTCATTAATTGCAATTTATTTAATGTATTACTAGACATACCATATTCATTATCCCCCATCCAATCGGGTTTAATTTTGCCAATGGTTTCCGGTGTCCACAACTCCTGTACTGTTTTTTGACTTAAGAAATCTTAAAACAATTATAAAAATGAGTGTTTTTTAATTAAATACAGTACAATTATAGTATAACTTATAAGTATAATTATAATGTTAAACTACAATTACCTTGATCATTGCCGTGATATGCAGATAGCATAGCATTTGCAAACCGTAACATATCGTCCGCCGTTGATATGATACCCCCTGCGGGCCACGAACCCTCGTATGAAACCAATTCATCGATTATGTCTGACTTTTGCAATGTCCCGGATGTTTGGTTTGATAATTGATAGTATTGTGGTCTGTGTTTAACAATCATTTCTCTTCTCTCAGAAAATGTTGAATTCATGTGTAATTGTGTAAACATTTTCTTCATTTCATTCTCATATGTGTTGTTAAGTATGGACTCAATGATAGCGCCAACCATTAGAAAACCATAATTAGAATAACTCCATTCAGTTCCAGGTTTGGACAGTAAGGGCTCGTTTTTGAATGGTCTGATATTATGACTTACATTATCCGCACGTCTTATCAAGTATTTGTCAAAATCTTCTGGAAATACACTCATATGAAGGCCTGCCGTATGTGACATGACTTCCCGAACGGTTATATTAACTGCCGATCCGTTGAATGTCTTGAAGGGATAGAAATCTTTTGACAGATATTTATGGATCTCTGCGTTCAGATCAATGAGATGGCGATCCATGAGCTGACCGACCAGTGCTGATGTGACTGATTTGCTTATTGAAAACAACCGCCAAACGGAATCCTTATGTGTTGAGACATTATTCTCGATATCCGTATAACCGAAGCCTTCCGTCCATACATTCGTGCCGTTTATACTGAATGCCATCACAGCTCCGGGTATTTGATTAATATCCATAAATGCTTTCATTTGTACCCGGGCATCTTTTATCACATCATCGATTGTATCGTACTTTGCCTTTAAATTTAAATCTTCAATGAATTCATGGCTTGAATGTGAATTGAATTGCCAATCATTTTCAATGTTAAGACTATTAGAAAAATGAATGGATAATAGGAATAGTAGTAATATACTATAAAATATCATTTTAATGTTTTGTTTTTATTAAAACTTATGTTATTACTAAATACTTTTTCAGTCCTTTGGTTTATATACAATCTTTTAAATTATGATTTCATTCTCATTGTGCAAACATTATTGATATCACCATACAATTAAATGTTTATTTCATATTTTTATTAAACTAAAATTTTCAAGGTTAGTTACTCTCGATTTAATCAATTTCACCCAACGTTTTAAACAATTATTTCTAAATTCTACCTTGAAAACCTTTGTAATATCCTTAAACTGTAGACTTTGAATTTGTACTCAATTTATCAATATTATCGGCATAAACAGTACATTGGGGACAATTTATCAGACTCAATTTAGCTGTTTTTATTAGGATATTTGTTAAATAGTAACTACTGTATACTGCTTATATTGACAAATATAATCTATATGTGCTATTTTATATCAAATAGGAGACGTACTATTGAATGGATTAAGAATTAAAACAGTTTCTAATTGGTGATTTTATTGAGCCTAACTGTAATGTAATGTATAAGACTCTAACAAATATAATCTATATGTGCTATTTTATATCAAATAGGAGACGTACTATTGAATGGATTAAGAATTAAAACAGTTTCTAATTGGTGATTTTATTGAGCCTAACTGTAATGTAATGTATAAGACTCTTATAATAAGAGTAATATTTATACAGTAATAAAAGCAATAATAAAGATATACAGTATAACAATTATTTGGACATTTGAATTGTTTTCAAAAATAATGCAATGGAGAATGCCATTATCTAAATACAAATTATAATAAATAAATATAAATCACATTAATTATTTTCCAATAATTATTGTAGGCATACCTCATAGAAATGGTTATAGTTAATAATAAAAAACTTAAAGCAATAAAATCCAATGCTTTTCTGACTTAACTTCTCAATCATTGACAGTAACTGTAACCAGGCTTGTGGTCCACAAAGTGAGCCAATTGTGAGAACAGGACAAATAGACTACAATTAATGAGCCACAGGTTTCCATGATACTTTGCCCCGATCATATAAGAAAAGTCGCCAATCATGAGATATATAATAAAAAACTTAAAGCAATAAAATCCAATGCTTTTCTGACTTAACTTCTCAATCATTGACAGTAACTGTAAAATAAAATACAACTAATTAAATCTCGGAATAAATACCCTGATGGTGGTGTTACCCTAATTTTATAGCTGAATTTAATCGGACAAACAAATAGCGAATTAAGTAATTTGTACGTTAGGTTGCTTAGATAAACTATTTGCGATGCAATTACCAAGATTATAATGAAAAATATGGACCATAAACATGTACAATAAATGAATGTTACTTTAATGAGTATATGCAACTCGACAAATAGACTCATGTAGAGTGCCATGATTATAAACGTTAAATTTGTGAATATAAATACCATGATAAATTTGGACCACACGCTAGCATTCATTTGGTTAATCTCATTGTGACTCGAATTTAGTTTTATGAGAAGTTTTGTCACATTCAACTCTTGGAATTTGCGTTTATTATGCAAAATATGATCTATGTCCTTATTTAAGCTGGTGAGTTTTAGCCTCGAATAAAACAATATAATATAAAAATACCAAATTTGATATACGAAATAAGACGGTTCGTATATTGGCAGTTAACAATGCTAATATGAGTATTAACTTAAATTTTTATATTATTAATTTATTAATAATATCGTTAACTACATTGTAACTCACTTATTTTACTAACGTTTATGTTATGGAACCCCAGGGAAGGTCATATGTACTGGTCTTGATACTTTAAGCAAACTGTTTGTTATTTTAAGCAATTTATGTAAATCGGGTTCATTAGTGATACCAACA